AAAAAAAAAAAAGAAGTATTAAGGTCCAATTACCACATGCCAACGTACCAAACAATTGACTTATCACATCCTTCATAAATTATGATGCTTAATTTCTGGGCATGAATGACTTCTTGTGATTGGACTTTTTTGAAATTCAGCTGTACAGTTGTTAATTCTTTCGCACCCATTTGGGAAAAGTGGTTATTGTTTGACTTCAGCCATGCATGCACATAAATTTCTCTGCTTCAGTTCAGATGTGGAGAGTGGGAATGGAGGACCACCACCAAGTAGCTAATCGAGAGGGAAGAATTGCCCCCCAAAAAAACAAAGGGAAATATACCCTCTCAGGACTAGGGTGGGTTGTCTTACCAAATGTGGGTGAAAAATTGGACCTACGTGCTTATATTTTCCTTAAACATGGATTTCTTTTACTACCGTAGTCACATGGCTTTCTGGACTATATCGTTTCATCACAACAACTTANGATCTCGTATGAGTTAAAATCTGAACTTAACGGGATTTAGGCAAGGCCAAATGGGCTATCATCCTCTGGAGGTTTGAAAATCATCGCTTTACTCTAATGTTAACAATTATAAATACTCTCAAATTATATAGGCTCTGTTAAAGCAACCCCTTAAAGTAAATTCTTCGATCCATCGTGTATCCCATATATGCATAGAAGTATTGAGTAAATCTCAAGGAAAAGTTTAAATGATAACAGAGACGAGTTACAAATTTAAATGTCTGAAATTTGAATCTTGTCAACCCCTTGTCAGGTCATGAGAGAGTTATCTCTTATAATTATCCTACATTTGATCGGACCCAAAAAAAATTTATCAAAATGTGCATAAGTTGGCCTAAAAATTCCTAACCATTTAAAAAAAAAAAAAAAAAGAAGTATTAAGGTCCAATTACCACATGCCAACGTACCAAACAATTGACTTATCACATCCTTCATAAATTATGATGCTTAATTTCTGGGCATGAATGACTTCTTGTGATTGGACTTTTTTGAAATTCAGCTGTACAGTTGTTAATTCTTTCGCACCCATTTGGGAAAAGTGGTTATTGTTTGACTTTAGCCATGCATGCACATAAATTTCTCTGCTTCAGTTCAGATGTGGAGAGTGGGAATGGAGGACCACCACCAAGTAACTAATCGAGAGGGAAGAATTGCCCCCCAAAAAAACAAAGGGAAATATACCCTCTCAGGACTAGGGTGGGTTGTCTTACCAAATGTGGGTGAAAAATTGGACCTACGTGCTTATATTTTCCTTAAACATGGATTTCTTTTACTACCGTAGTCACATGGCTTTCTGGACTATATCGTTTCATCACAACAACTTATTTTATGAACCTTTAAGAGTAGTATAGTAGTCAAATATGCCTTTTTGTAAGTAAGAAGTCTTAAGTTCGATATTTCTTGTATCTTCTAAAGGTTAACTACTCTTGTTTCTCAAAAAACATGTTCTTAAACTAGTTCAAATTACGGTGGCCGACTTAAAATTCGATAGAGTAGTCAGGCATAAGTCTCAACACCCTTTAACTAAAGAAAACTTATTTTATGATTTATATTTTAACATTTTAATCACAGTAAGTTTATCTATATATGTTTTAACCTTGTAAATATAGTGAATCTACTTATTGAAATTAATCATTTAATATCAATATAAAAAAAATACACACTTGTGGTGCATTGTACGGATAACCCTAGTATGCTTAAATTTCCCTAATGGGCGGACTTCATGTGCTAACCATGTCACATGGTTGTTGAATTATAACCTGAGCAAGGCAAGAGTCCATTGCTTTCAAGGTATGGAGGGAGGACAAGACGATATAAATGATTCACGAGAGGCGTCATGGCTGTTAGCCTGAGATGGACTATATTCAATGGTTCTATTGATCCATAGTGAGAGAGATATATATATATATATATAGGTGCAGAAATACAAATTTCTTGGGCTTCTTTATTTAGAAAAATGACCCTCTTCAAGAAACATTAGAAACATTCATCTGTCTGCACTCATCCATACTTGATTATTCAGCTCCTGTACAATCCCTCTATGTGTTGTGCCTGTCTTAGGGTGTGTGATTTGCAATTGGCTCTTGAAATTTTTTTGGAACAATGTTTATCTTTTTTGGTAAATCGCACCTTGTACTAGAAAGATGCTCAAATTCTTAATTTGCTCCATGATTTCAATTTCCAGATTGCACAGTTTACTTTTTCATCTGAAAACGCAACTTATTATCATTTTGCACCACTTATTATTCAGCAATATGCTTAAACGTAGTTTGGAAAAAAGGGTAAAATGCAATTACACCCGGAAAGATTTAAAGATTTTCATTTTGTACTCTCAAAGATAATTTTTTTTACATTGTACCCTTAATGTATCTAAAGTGTTATAATATAACCCTTCTGTTAACTTCTATTATTTCTTCCGTAAAAAATCAACCCATTAACATTGACGAAAAAATAACAGAATCTAACATAAGGGTCAAATTGCAACATTTTTTATATATTAATAATAAAATTATAAAAAATTTAAGGGTTAATCACAAATTACACTTCAAAAGATCTCTTGAATCTCAATTTACACCCTCAAAGATAAAAATCTCAATTCGTACCCTTAAAAATATAAATTTGTATTAATGTGCACATGAAGCTTATAGCCGTCAGGTTGTTGTTTAAAATTAATTAGATAAATTACATTTAAACCCCTTCAAATTTATCACTTAATCATTTGGACCTCCTCATTTTTAGAATATTATTGTTACACCTCTTATGTTTGTACATGTGTAACACATAACCCATTATCGTTAATATATATTAATATAAACGTTAAAAAAAATATAATTTTATCTTAATAAAAAATTATAATTGTCATGCTACCCTTTATTTTATAGACCTATTTTACTCTAAAGTGCAAAATCAAATTTATCATTTGAATGTCCAATATAATGCAAATATTTATATAATGTTCTTTATGTTCAATACAATACAATACTTGAACAAATTATTTAGATGCCCAATTGGAAGAACATTTTTAGTCATTTGGATTCTAAGAGGATGTAGATATAATATTTCAGAAGTGAGGGATCTAATATTAAACGACAAACATGAGAGCGTTTAAGTATAATTTATTCATTTAATCTTAGACGACAAACCGATAATTACTAGTTTCAAGTGTGTATTAATACAAATTTATATATTTGAAAATGCAAATTAAGATTTTTTATCTTGAAATACAAATTGAGATTTAAACTATCTTTCAAGTTGTAATTTACAATTTACCCAAAATTAAATATTTGAAGATATAATATAAAAATTCTTAAATCTTTGACGTACAGAGTACAATTCTCCTTTGAAAAAATCATTTTGTCCACACCACCAACGTGTTTGGTGGAAAGCAGCACCGAACTCAGAGTTAGGCGCTTGTCAAACTGTAACACTGTAGAGCATGTCGGCAATCAAGCCCACAATGGACAGTGACACAACAGAGTAACGCGTTTGATCAACCCAAACGTCACTCCTAAAGTATCTTTGTTACATTCAATATTTATTCAACTTTTAAGCTTCTTTGAATCCAGCATCGGGTTGTTCAAATTCAAATTCAAATTAAATTTAAAATTTTTAATTTGAATTTATGAAAATTTTGATTTACAAATTTTATATCTAAATCCTTTAAAAGTAAAAAAATTCAATCCANACACTTCAAAAGATCTCTTGAATCTCAATTTACACCCTCAAAGATAAAAATCTCAATTCGTACCCTTAAAAATATAAATTTGTATTAATGTGCACATGAAGCTTATAGCCGTCAGGTTGTTGTTTAAAATTAATTAGATAAATTACATTTAAACCCCTTCAAATTTATCACTTAATCATTTGGACCTCCTCATTTTTAGAATATTATTGTTACACCTCTTATGTTTGTACATGTGTAACACATAACCCATTATCGTTAATATATATTAATATAAACGTTAAAAAAAATATAATTTTATCTTAATAAAAAATTATAATTGTCATGCTACCCTTTATTTTATAGACCTATTTTACTCTAAAGTGCAAAATCAAATTTATCATTTGAATGCCCAATATAATGCAAATATTTATATAATGTTCTTTATGTTCAATACAATACAATACTTGAACAAATTATTTAGATGCCCAATTGGAAGAACATTTTTAGTCATTTGGATTCTAAGAGAATGTAGATGTAATATTTCAAAAGTGAGGGATCTAGTATTAAACGACAAACATGATAGCGTTTAAGTATAATTTATTCATTTAATCTTAGACGACAAACCGATAATTATTAGTTTCAAGTGTGTATTAATACAAATTTATATATTTGAAAATGTAAATTAAGATTTTTTATCTTGAAATACAAATTGAGATTTAAACTATCTTTCAAGTTGTAATTTACAATTTACCCAAAATTTAATATTTGAAGATATAATATAAAAATTCTTAAATCTTTGACGTATAGAGTACAATTCTCCTTTGAAAAAATCATTTTGTCCACACCACCAACGTGTTTGGTGGAAAGCAGCACCGAACTCAGAGTTAGGCGCTTATCAAACTGTAACACTGTAGAGCATGTCGGCAATCAAGCCCACAATGGACAGTGACACAACAGAGTAACGCGTTTGATCAACCCAAACGTCACTCCTAAAGTATCTTTGTTACATTCAATATTTATTCAACTTTTAAGCTTCTTTGAATCCAGCATCGGGTTGTTCAAATTCAAATTCAAATTAAATTTAAAATTTTTAATTTGAATTTATGAAAATTTTGATTTACAAATTTTATATCTAAATCCTTTAAAAGTAAAAAAATTCAATCCAATCTAAATAACACAATTGTACTAAATTTTAACTCCATTTCATTTTATATTTAGACATGTCCCCTTTGTGCCTTCTAAGACTTATTTTCTTTTGACTATAATCATAATCCAAATAGGCTATTAGCATATGCAAATTCAAATCCATAAAATATAATGACTTATTTAAATTCAAATATGAATTACAAAATCAAAAATATCAATCCATACACGTCTCATTTGATTTAGATTTGGATCCAAATCCATACTATTGAAGAGCCTAGCCACATGAATTGAAGCAATAGGATGTGGACTCAGTTGACTTGCACAAAAGAGTAGATTGGTGGTGATTAACAAGACAAGGATAGAGATATATGTCCTGGTCGGTATTGATTTGCAAATCTAACTATAAACAGGAAAAAGGCATCGAAAGATTGGTTTTGTTATAACGTTCCCATTTACGTTAACCGACAAAGGCAAGGGTATCTCCTAATAAATCAAAGTCCAAACTCCATTAAATATGATTGACCTATTGACATCGATTGCTGGAGGGGCAGCACATGGTTTTCGGCCTGAATTGTACTAGATGTCTCAATTGTGATTGACAACAAAAACATAAGTGCATGTAAGATCCAAAATAGATGTACAGTACAAAAAGAGTATGAAATAGATGGCATATTGTGTTACCTAGTAGCAATTAGATGCACCAGCAATGCAGACACTTCAATTTTGAGTGTGAGCTCCTTCATTCAAATTTGAAGCTCGATAGGGCGTTACCTCAATATATAGTTTGATCNTGAAATAGATGGCATATTGTGTTACCTAGTAGCAATTAGATGCACCAGCAATGCAGAAACTTCAATTTTGAGTGTGAGCTCCTTCATTCAAATTTGAAGCTCGATAGGGCGTTACTTCAATATATAGTTTGATANAAGATCCAAAATAGATGTACAGTACAAAAAGAGTATGAAATAGATGGCATATTGTGTTACCTAGTAGCAATTAGATGCACCAGCAATGCAGACACTTCAATTTTGAGTGTGAGCTCCTTCATTCAAATTTGAAGCTCGATAGGGCGTTACCTCAATATATAGTTTGATCGTTGGATCTCTGCAAAAAGGTCTTTCCCTTAGAAAGCGAGTTTGAAGCATCATTATCCCAAGCCACACCGGTTAAGCCAGAGGTGGTGACATTTTCTCACTTTAGCCTACGAATCACAATATTTTCCAAAGCTTGCATATGTATGTGTGGAAATGTGAAAAATACCGAACATGAAATTCTATAATATCCAACCCCTGATACAAGAGTATCAATTTAATATTGGGTGGTGAAGATGAAAAAATCAAATCAAAGAAAAACTATTCAATATTCATGGACAAAAATGCATTCATACAATGTGTATTTTTCAATCCCGTGACACAAGATTTCTTCAATTGGGTATAAATCCTAGTAAAGCAGCATATGGACTGCAAAATATATGCTGCCAGGTTACCTGTGGAATGCCTACACATTAGTCTCTTGGATTCTGTGTTTCCTATTGTCTAATCTTGGGATGTCGTGAATGGAGCACAGCAGGAAGAAATATCAATTCCAGCAACCTCCATGGCATTGCAGACCCATTCAGGTACATCGCCTTTGGGGAACTACAAGATAATACCAACAATACGATTCACAAGAAAGAAGTAAATTTAAAAATCAAGTTATAGAGACTCCCTCTTCATTTCTCTGAAGTATATCAAACCCGAGTTGTTAAATGGCAGATAAGGAATGATTCCATTGGTATATATGAGTGTCTACCTAGGTAACACCACTATATTCAGTGCAGAGCAAAAGATTAATTGCCTAATTCTAACAATATCTGAAAAATATGAAGGTGGAAATGGTATGTGCAGAGAATGCAAGCAGCAACTTAATGAGAAAATTACAGAGATCTAGCATGCCACGATTTCTTGAAACCAAGGTATGAAATCAGTAACCACCCAACCGGGAAATAGGGAGATTTTTTTCTTTCTTTCTTCCATTTTTTCTTTTGGGTTGGGGGGATGCAATCATGGTTAATTTAAGATTCGAAAAAAGGGAAACAACTTTTTTAACAAACAGAATAAAGCAATAGATGCTCAAAAAAATTTCAATGTAAACACTAGTGCCCAGACTAACGGTTCCCAGGAAAAGACAAACACAAAAGCAAAGGAAATATAGTAATCATTAACATGGAGTCAAGGACACCTCAATATTAGTGGAAAAACAGATAAAGGAACACTTTCATCACACAAAATAGATTTATCAAAAATGAATCTGCTTTCAAGAAAGAACACAATAAGAGCCACTTTTAAGCACAAGTACCATTTTCTGCAGGAACTTGCATACAAACCTGCAGAGGAAAAAGGTGGGGCAAGTGTTACGAAATTTAGATAATACAAACAAACCACAGAAATTTATGGGGTAGTATACTTATAAGCCTATATTCTTTACCTAATGCAGAAGCATTACAGAAGCAAGGTAATGATAAAACTTGAAAAGAATACAAAGCAAAGATAAGCATACTCTGGAAACTGCCCTTGGATAATCGATGAGTTCAGATCTCTGCTAAGCTGCAAGTTAAAACAAATGTATTCTAAAATCTAATTAATCAAGCTTAAGATAACTAGTCTATAGCATATATTTTGGTGTAGCTACCTTCATCATGTAATACAAATTGTGATATGATAAAAGTTGAGATCCCATAGCATCTTTTGTAACGAGGCAATGAATGTAGGCCCTTGTATAGTTTTTGCAGACCTATGGTAAGAGATCAAAAGTAGATATTTTAATATACACACACTAGTAATTTAAAAGCTAGGTAAAATGAGTGTCTTATGATGAACATACCATGCACTCACAAGTGGGATCAATGGGACGGATATCATCAGCCATTGCCCGGTGTTTAAGTTTTAGAACACCCTGCATCAAGATCTTCATCTTAGAACAGGGTCAAATGAAAAGAAAATGGACGACAATACATGGTAATATCCTTTTGTAAAGAGGAGATAATGGAAGATTTTTTTTTAATTCTTTCTGACATTGAAGGGGGTTTTATCCCAGTGTCAAAATTCCTGTCATTGAAGTTTGTTCCACTATGACCTGAGCATCAAGGGTTTGACTCGCATAAAAAGTCTCCCTGCTTGCGGAAGGTAAAATTGCTAACATTTGACACTCTCCAAATCCCGAAGTGGCGGGAGCCTTGTGCACTGGACAACCCTTTTTTATGAGAGCATCTAACAGGAACAAGTTCTCCAATAAAAATCCACGCACACATACCAAGCAAGAGATTAAACTTAAAAATGTAACTAGAAATACTTCCCAGTAACTCTCTGGAAAATTAAATAGGTACAGTAAACAAAATTGAAATAAATTATGATGACCAAATAACTAGAGTGATAAAGATATAAATCTATTCTTCTTTTCTAATTATTTAACAAATTAGCACCATCCTGCCTGCCTTATATTTTGTTTTATTTGAACCTGAGGAAGTCAGGGCAGATATAACTCAGTGGTACTGGTTTTTCCAGTTGTAAGATTAATTCAATCCAAACCTACAGCAAGCTTTAAGTATATCTCTGGAGACAAACTATGGTGGCAAAACACATGCAAGGAGTAACCATGGGCACTATTTCACTTGAGTAGACAACTTGTTTTTGCATCGAGGGAGATTACAAGGTTCCCANGGAGACAAACTATGGTGGCAAAACACATGCAAGGAGTAACCATGGGCACTATTTCACCTGAGTAGACAACTTGTTTTTGCATCGAGGGAGATTACAAGGTTCCCATGAAGGTGTGACGCATACATATAGGTCTCCTTCATACAAGGCTGGTGAGAGAATAAGCTAGGTAAAACCTATGCTGCTTTGACTGGAAATTAAAGGAATCAGCAAATTACTAACAAATCAGTCAAATGGAGCAAAAGATCCTTGAAATCCCAATCATGTCACAGAAAATACAGCTCATACAATTGCAGATGCATACTAAACAAGAAACCATTACCTCAGGTACAAGAGCTGTGCCAAAGCGAGCAGTGCGAGTGGGGTAGACACAGTCATACATGTCAGCCCCCAAAGCACTGCAAACTACGATATCCAATGGGTAACCAACACCCTGGGAAAATAAGAGCAGGCAAGGCATCAAGATGTACGCAACAGGTTTAGAAGTCGAGAACATACAGTCCACAGAATCAAGAGAAGTAAAACTAGATATGAATTCATTTGTACCATAACATATCGTGGTTTGTCCTCAGGCAGTGCAGCAGTACACTGAGCAACAACACGCCAAAAAGAGTCTTTATCTTCGCCGCCTGCAAGACCACCAATAGCATAGCTGTCACAGAAGTAAACTTGGTTATTGCAATACCCTTATCACTCACATGACTAAAGCAATTTGACATAAGACAATAATTGTCATGGTTATAAAATCAATCTCTGAGAAAACTTAAAAGAAAGTTAAACGATGATGTGTAAGCTTCATGATGAGCCTAAGATACTTGACTAAAATAATTCACCAGTCACAATAAAAATGAAAAACAACACCACCATCAACCAATGCCAAACATCCTCAATATATCTACAGACCAAGTATTATCATACTTCTTCAGCATTTATTATTTTTGATGCTGCTCAGGAGGATATAAGTTTAAGCACGAAAGTTGTCACCTAAGAGTTCAATTTTGAACACTGATATACAAAAGGAATACCATTTCAAAAATCAACATATCCAGGAATTGAGCCGCACGTTATACTCAGGCCCTAATGATGCCCTGAATGGGGAAAAAAATCCCACATAGAAATAGATGATTAAGAACCTTAGGACCTTGACCCAAGTGCTCAATCTACTTTCAACCAGCTAATCAAGTCCCATGATAAAATTGAAGCGGTGAAACATAAATGATATCAACTAAAATGTGAATTTTCAAATAATAAGGGGTGATGAACAAAGGAACTTATATATACCAGNCCCAAGTGCTCAATCTACTTTCAACCAGCTAATCAAGTCCCATGATAAAATTGAAGCAGTGAAACATAAATCATATCAACTAAAATGTGAATTTTCAAATAATAAGGGGTGATGAACAAAGGAACTTATATATACCATCTGTACTTATGAGAACACTTACATCCTACCAAAGGCAAAAATGAAGACAAATCATAGCACTACTCAAACACCCACCACCCCCTTCCCCCAAAAAAAAAAAAACCTCAACTTTACGTATTCATTTTGTACACAAATAATGCAAGTAGCAAAACGGGATTTAAGGAAGCTAGAGGGTGGTAGGTAGAGAGGCATATTTTTTTCACTTAAGGCCGTAATTCTGCTGCCTACTCATTTTATGTGCAGCGTATATTCAAAAGGCTAACCCTAGCAACATTGTNTACACAAATAATGCAAGTAGCAAAACGGGATTTAAGGAAGCTAGAGGGTGGTAGGTACAGAGGCATATTTTTTTCACTTAAGGCCGCAATTCTGCTGCCTCCTCATTTTATGTGCAGCGTATATTCAAAAGGCTAACCCTAGCAACATTGCGTCCAGAGCAAGATGACAAAATTTCTAGAAAATGAGTGGAATACATCAGGTCATCATTTTCTTCCACTGCTTATTAATTTTCTAATAATAGTAGAACAGGCAGGAATACCAGAAAACTGTTTTTGTAAGCCTCAACAATATTTATCTAGGGGAGTATACATACCCGGGCAAATTCCGATCCACTAACCCCTTGACACATATATCCCTGGTACCAATAGATTGCAAAATGAGGATCATAATTACACAAGAAGTAGAAGGTACATAAATCTATGCAGGTATTAGGAAGAGTAGGAATGTTAAAGTTTAAATTGTAGGTCACCTTAACACTGGATCTAAGCCACCTTGGACAATGCCAAATAAATTCTGCTCATGTGGTCTCTTGTGAGCTGTCCTCCATGAAAATCATTATAGTTAATTAATGACATGTAACTGAGTCAGAAGCACCAAACACAAGAAGAAACGATGAAAATGTGAATGACAATGCTACTTAAAAAGTAACCAATGAATTCTTTCTTCAATTGGAAGCACTCAACCAATTAAACAGGCTTAGTTCACTATAATCTGACTATGATTATCTGAGCCTGTGGAAACATTCTAGCCTAAAAGCTTAGGTTGGTCACGATCAGATTGGACCAGGGACTTGGTTCAACTAAGGCCGGGTTACATGTCAAAATAGTGTTTGCTAATTTGAATTTGTACTTGAAAATGTGTGAATGGAGCATGCTTAACATTTTTCTTCGGCATATGTACCTGCTATGCACCTGTCTATCCAACGTAGAGTACGATACATAGCCTCTTCAATTCGTGGCCCAGTAATTGTGGTTCTTACAACGTCATCCAGTGCCATAATGATATCTGCTCCAATTCTGCTCTGCAGAAATTGGTGGCAGACCACCCAAACACAGAAGATATTAGAAGGGAAAACACCATTTGACATATAATAAAAAGTGAGGCAAGACAAAATACAAATAAGCTTATCTAAATAATGCCAAATGTGACGTGTTTTCCATGTCAACCCCACAAAGGAAACTGCATGCAGCATACAGTCAAAATAAAGAAAAATGCACATTGTGGAAAAATGAACAAGTGTCACGAGTTTAAGAATTTTTTTTTCCCACAAAAAGAATTATAATGGATTGTTTAACTGCCACTGTGCAAAAATTGCATATAACTTACCAACAAGCATTGAGGAGAAAATAAGAACAAGTCAGAGTAGGAGAAAGGAAGCAAGATTCTCCATTAGCAAGATATTCAAATTCTAGAGTTGCTGATCTTAACATCAACAAAAGCTTACAATTCATGGATATTCATTTACAAGGAAAACAAAAAGATTTTTTTGATTCATGCTTCAGTAAGATGTTCGAACTTCTAAGTTCTGGCTTCATGGCGCCAAACTAAAGATTACGTGTTCCAGCCTTAAATCTTCAGCTCCTTTAGGGAAGATGGATAAATTCGTAGATCGAAGATGTGAATAAAATTAGGAAAAAAAAACGTTACCCATAACATCTATGTCAGCTTTTGTTCTAGATGATCCCTCTAGACAAAGGTGATTATAACAATCTTCCTAATTACTTAGTTCTCTATATCTGGCACAGAATCCAAAAACTTTCCAAAAGTTACATATTTTATATCAGGAAGAACTATTAGGTCCATTGCATTACTAGTTGGCCCAAGCTTCCCTAAAATCAGCACTTCAAGTTTAACTAATTTCAGGGAATGTGACTGGAGTTAAGTGAAGAATAAACAAGGATGACCAAAAACAGGTAGCATTAACTTTGAGTAATTTAGAACTGCAAAAGTTTGCAGGTTGATATATATCTAATGGAAGAGCAAAGAGTTCCACTATAAGCATAGAATTACTACTATTTAACCAGTAGCTCCAAATGCGTCACATAAAGAAGAGGAAAATAAAAGGAGAACAATATTTCGACATGTGAAACAGAGCAATGAATTATGTCAATGACACAAAAAGTACCCAAAACTTTATTAAATCATGGAAACATTCTAGGACCATTTATGAGTTCCTAAATACAAAAAAAGCCCCCATTAACAAAAGGGACACCAAAATGTACCTACTTGGATTTGAATTGATTCCTCAGGCGTTAGGAGCATTGGCTTTCCATCCACTGGTGACTGCAAGGGGACAATGAGGTTACTAACTAGCAACATGGAAACATATGTGCAAACGGCAACTAAGAGTGGAATAAGTAGGAGTTCACGCAAATAAACTGGTACCATATAGCGAAGTAATTAAGTACTGCCATGGAGCATGCCACATGGGCAGAAGAATTAATTGCTAGCATGAACAAGAGAGCTATCAGCAACGTGAAAAGTCATAAATTCGAGAAAATTATCCTGAATACAAAACTAATAAACAATGTTTTTATTAATGACAACCCATTTTTTCAAGTGTGTTTACTGCCCAGCATACACATGCGCATGTTGTCTATTTGTATCAAATCATGTAGAGATTCCTAAGGATATGCAATTGGTGGAAGAAGATGAAGTGCAAAACTTTATTGCATAAAAAGACACCATTGACCATAGTTGGATCCCTTAAAACAACATGTTAGGAGAAGTGGACCTGGAACAGCCTCTGCCTTTATTCACATGAAGCATCTGCCCTCATACTCAACTCCATTCTATTTCTAACCGGGACTTTGTCTATATATGGGCTTCGCAATTCAAAATATCAACGTAACCTATGACCATGTCAATACAGTATAAATTCAAACTTGTAAAGATGAGTGTGTATCAATAACTGGGGTGTGGCATAACTTTAAATCCCAACATCATTTGTCAACAATATAAGCAGTTTAAAACAATGTATTATTACAGAAATAAATATACACACGCATGTAGTGACATCTATAAATAAATAGAAGCTGCAAGAGAGACAGAGAGGGAGGGAATCGAGAAATCTAATGTATTATAGGGAACAATTATGCAGTGAACTAGCTTTGTAGAATTAAAAATAAAAGATATATTTCTCTTCTGCCACACTATCATACTTGCAGTGCGAAGCACATCAAGATGAGTTATCGCCATAGACTTAAAAGGATAAAAAGAAAATTACCTGAAATGTGACGCCTTTTTCAGTAATGTCAGCCAAATGCAATAGTGAGACCTGAAGCATTAGACATAATTCCAGCTTAGTCACATATTTCGTCACTCTTTTAACTAACAATACCATCACAACCTATGAAGCACATGCGCAAACATGTGACATGAATACAACATAGAAAAACTGATATGCCCACCTTAAAAAAGTCAGAAATAAATGGAGAGGACAATGCAATAACAGAAAAAATTACACACTAAATAATGATTTACATTACATAAGTTGTCTTGTAATAGAAAAAACTAATTTTAGCATCAATTTTATGATTATGGATCAAAATAATCAGTAATCAACCATGTCACAGACAGAGAAGAGGGACGCAACATATGTGTGTATATGCATTTGTAACTACATATGTAGGGAATTATACATGTATTTACACCTCGATGATTTCTAGTCCACACACATTTGAAACCTTCCTATGTATTACCTTTGTATTTTCTAATTGCATTAGCCACCCATTTAAATATTTATATAACACTTCAAGCTGAAATCTCTCAGCAATTAGATTGCCTTCTAATACTATAATAAGCTATGCCTTGATATCAGAGGTTTGCCAATTGCAAGTTGGAACAAGAAGTAACATTGCATGTTCATGTTATGTATAGGATTGACAATTTCCTAACATGTACTTATTTTCCTTCCCCTCCCCCCTCTTCCTAAAAGAACGTGTCACACAAGTGTCAAGAAGTGTCTATGTTGGAAACATGTCCAACACAAACACGACTGTTATGTGGAAGCTTTTATGCTTCTGCAAAATAACAAGCTTGACAAAATTAAGCCATTTGAGTACTATTCAAATATTTTGATTTCTTTGTGGAATTGAAGAAAAAGAACCATACTGTTCAATTTAATTCATCATGGAACACCACTTGCAACATTATGCATTATCTATAATATCTGATGAATAGAGCCACTGAAAATTACTTTAGTAAACAACTTGAATTCGCTCCACTAGTGGTTTTTGTGGCAATGCTGTCAACTGTGGTTGCAATACAATTGCAGATGCTTTACTGACCTGGTTTTTAAATCACCAGTGGAAAAAAGATAGAACAAAGACAAGACCAGGATTCTCTATTGACAGAACTTTAGCTAGTAAAACAACAAGAAATTAGTTTATAACTTCTATTTTGGAATTTACAAGCAATGCCAGTCATTTGTCTGCCAATAAAAATTTGTCTATCCCATGAAGTAAAGATTACTTAAACAATCCATAAACATTGTTTGTTCAGTAATTCTGTTTTATGGCAGCCAAAAACCTCCATCTCCCGATTGTACTGTATATCATGACTGCTATGCTGATAATGTTGTGGTTGGCAATGCCACACATGGAAGTACGTAACCAGTTTTTAGTGATCTATCACAAAAAATCACCTAGAAGGCAGAACCTCCCTCACTGGGCATTCAATGCCAGTATTTTTATGCCATAAGAATAGGAAAATGGAAAGGACACGAATCTCTCAAGAAAATGCAGCAACATGCAACTTCTATTTTTATGTTGACTAGAATAGAAATAGAAAAGCAAACCAGAGCAACAGGTACATGGCCAATGATACCCATTCACAAAGCTTTCAATTTTTCACTTTGCAAATGAAGCCAAATAAGTAAATTAACAAAGCATGTAATCTATACAATATGGAAACACAGATTCTACAAACATGAAAACCAAGAGGTCATGCTTATAAAACAGGGTAGGAAAGCTAGGAACCACNAACAAAGCATGTAATCTATACAATATGGAAACACAGATTCTACAAACATGAAAACCATGAGGTCATGCTTATAAAACAGGGTAGGAAAACTAGGAACCAGAAAAACTAGGAAGTTAGGAATCACCACAACAGTAATGACAAAAACAGGACCAATGGCAGATAAAGTTTTTGTCGGAAAGTAAACTCAGCATAGGAAAACATAACAGGAATTATAAATGGTATCATCTTAACAGTACATGAAATTATGCATGACAACCATTTGAAAGCCACCAGAGTCAGTAAGAAGTGCCCTTGGCCAGTTCATAAATTTGTGGAGACCCCCCAACTCGTCGATTAGCTCAGAAGTAGGACGGAGAGCCAAATGATATGTATTCCCAAGTATAATCTGGCAACCAATTTCCTCAAGCTGATTAGTGGCCAAACCTTTTATCGTCCCTGGAACCACAAAACCCAAACTTGACCCAGTAATAACGATGTTGCATACACATGAATGTGGGTACAGAAATATGCTGAATTCAGAATATCATCACTTGCAATGTCCATAAGAAATATGTGAATGCCAAGTGTCTCCACCAACGACTATAATTGATGGTGCTCTAGACATCCTTATTAGTAATGCCCGATGGTACTTAATGCCCGTAATAACACTGAACGGATTAATCCAACAAGAGCAAAAGGAAGCAAATAACTAGTTTCCTTGGTTCTTCTCTTACACGTGGGAAATAAAGCATTTTCCCAGATAGCCATTAGAAGCTGAATCGCAATCGGTGGTAAAAACTTCTCTTCTAATGTGGCTTCAAACGTGAATGATGAATCATGGAGAAGATACACTTAAAAATAAAACTAACTTCCAAGCAAAAATATGACCATTGAAACTCAAACCTTGAGTCCCTACGGGCATAAACAGAGGTGTCTGGCACACAAAGTGAGGAAGTGTCAGTTGAGCTGCACGGGCACGGTTGAACCTCCCAAGGATCTTAACAAAAGAAACACCAAAACACAATTCTCGTATTAGCAACTATAAGTTACAACAATCATTGACAAGACAATCATAAAAAAAGCTCTACCTCAAATCGCAAAGCCATTAAACAATTACTCTTCCTCTTCTCTCCAGTCTTATGCGTACAACTGTCATCCAAAACTTTTGAAAAATTAATGTATATACACAAAGAATAATAATGCAAAAATCAAATTAACTACAGAGCTATATATGCCTCTTGAAATCCCAATGTAATATACGCGGGGGTGTATATACAGGGAATGTGAGAGACAGAGAGAGAGAGAAGTTTACCAGAGAGAAGAAGGGAAGGCGGCGGTGGTGAAGAAAGGAAGGGCTTCAACGACACAGAGTGCCCTATTTGCTTAATGGGCGCCGCCCAATGGATGTTTCCGTTAAATTTACTTAATATTTTTTGAAAAGCGGTGGACAGCGCTGACCGAGGACGAGCGGTCTGGGCATACACACACACGGATACGGGTTATAACGGAACCTACTGACTGCCAGTATCACCAAATACGGAGCGGCCTTTGCTCTCGGGTATGGATGATTTTCTTTGTCCTTTCATTCTTGGGAGAATTACACTTAGACCTCCTGAGGTTTGTCACTTAATCACTTAGACTCCTTGATATTTAAAATATTATACACAAATCCTCTAAAGTTTATACGCGCGTAACACTTCGACACATGTTGAAAATATATTAGTTAATAAATTATATTTAGACCCCATGAAGTTTATAAGTATATAATATTTAGACCCTTTAAATATAAAATATTATATTTAGACCAAAAATACTCTAATAAAATATCAAATATCAAATATTTTAAATTTTACAACAAAAATTCATGTTCTATTGTATCATTTATTGAAATAAAATCAAAAATAAAATTTAACTTTTTCTTAAAAAACATAATTATATTGTCTATTGAGATTTAATTTGTTCGTTTAAATGACCAAATTAAAGAATGATGCTACATAAATTTAAAAAGTATACTTAAAAATTAGATTTAATAATTAAAACTATTGATTTTCACTATAGTTCACAGCATTTATTGAGACTCACTACTTATTCAATGGTTAAAATTATCAAATCTAGTTTTTAAGTCCATCTAACATTACTCCCAAATTAAAATACAAAACTACCCCAAGTAAAGTTAAAAGATATTGTGTCTATTATAGTTTGACTCATTGTTTAATTTTTTAATTTTATTCTAATATATAGTATAATTATATACTAACTATGATTTTTTTTAAAAAAAATTATTTTTTATTTTATTTCGATAAATGACATAATAAAACATGAATTTTGGATATAAAATTCATGTTCTATTATGAATGACTTAGACCCCTTGTTTGATTTTTTAGTTTTATTCCAATAGATAGTATAATTGTATGCTAATTATGATTTTTTAAGAAAAAAATTAATTTTTAATTTTTAATTTTATTTCAATAAATAATACAATAGAACATGAATTTTGATTATAAAATTTAATATATTTGATATTTTATCTTTGATTGGAGTATTTTTTGTATAAGTACAATATTTTAAACTTAAGGGGTTTAAATATTATATACCTACAAACTTCAAGGGGGTCTAAGTATAAATGATAAATTTAAGAGGGTTTAAGTATAATTCTTCCTTTCTTCTTTTATCCTTTTTCAATAAGTTTGGTTTTAAAATTAAAAAGGTGATGGAAAGTAAAAATTAAAAAAAAAATGTGAAATAAAGTAAATAAAAAGAAAATAAATTTTTATATATGTATTTTTTTTTTGATCAAATCCTAACCACTAACTCTAACAGAGTCAGGGCCAGGAAAGATATATAAGAACACACACACTCCCGAAGTTATCCGATGTGGATAGTCCAGTCCCCCAACACCTAAAGTAATATGTATTTGATTAGGATAAATTTTTTGTAAAGAAGTTGCAAGAAAAATTTATGTCACAATTTGAAAAGCATGAAAGTTATAATTTTTTTTTTTGTCTAAATTACCTTTACCAAGTCTATTGAAGTGATTTAATTTTATTTTATCCTTTATTTCTTGTTTTTTGTTTGGATTTTTAGTCATAAAAGGATTTTCAAAGAGTGAAATCACCCATCATCCCTCTTTCCTAGTTTGTATAATTTTTTATTATCCCCTTCAATTTCAAATTATAAATTCAATTATCTCTCTTTGTATAAATCTAATTTCTTCACAAGAAAGTTGATAGTTATCAAGTTACCACTATATTCAAATGGTCAATTTGAAAATACAAATTTTGAGGAGTTCAAACCTTAAAAATTATAGATTAGGATTAGTCAAATGCATTTTGCATTTGAACAGTGAAAGCATCTTATTTCCCTTCTTAATAAAAAAGGGAAGAAGTGTGAATGCAACACGTGTTTTTTTTATGAGTCATCGTTTATAATAAATTGAAAAAATTATTTTACAATTTTATAATTTTTTCTTCTGAGAAAAAATAATTTTATAATTTGGAAGACATAAAAGTTACAAGAATTTTTTTTTTATTTGTCTAGATTAACTGTGTCAACCTTTAATTTCTTTTTTTTCATTGGATTTTTAGTCATAAAGGATTTTCAAAGGATTTTCAAAGATTGAAATCACCCTTCATCCCTCTTCCATGATTTTTATAATTTTCCATGATCTCTTCGATTTCAAATTCTAAATCCAATTATCCCTTTTTGTTCAAATCTAGTTTCTTCGCGAGAAAGTCTATAGCAATTAAGTTACCATTATTTTTCAAATGGTCAATTTGAAAATATAAATTTTGAAGAATTCAAACCTTAAAAATATAGATTGGTATTAGTCAGATGCATTTGAACACTAAGAACACCTTATTTCCCTTTCTTAATAAAAAAGGGAAGAAATGAGTATAACACATGTTTCTTTAGGAGTCATCCCTCATAATAAAAATGAAGCTTATCTTATCAAGATGAGTCTATTTTTTGTTACTTTTTTTTCTAGTTTTATAATACATAATATTTGTTAGAAATTATCGATTAAATCATACTGACGAGATATCATCTGGTGCATCAATCACTCACTAACACTTAGAGCAAATTGAGATCCACAACGACTCAAGCATCCCTTGAAAAGTTGACCCCGAGGTTTGAAGTGGCATGACAAGGTCCAACATTGCCTATAAAAAACGAGGTATTCCTGAATGATGTCACCCTTAACTTACTCGTATTTGACACATTGACACTAGCCAAATTGGCTACTAAGACAGTTGGTACCAGTTGGCGCACAATATAAAGCCCCATAAGAATTGACACGAAGGGCAATATTTTTGCAGACGTGAACGAATCGTGTGACGCCCTAAATTTCGGGGTACTTTCTCAACCCGTTTATCATCCATCAACTTGCGAAAATACTCATGAGTACCATATAACCCAATACCACGTCGTTACACCTGAATCACTGGAATCATAACTAACATAGAATTTGAGCAAAGTTTCCTTTGTATGATAACTTTATCCAACACAACCTGTGCATACAATAATTATACGACCATTCCAAGATCCACGTCCCAAAATATAGACTTAATATTCAATCAATTACATCATTCAAACAAAGAAAACTCGAGATCTGAAGGCTCGGCAAAGTTACATTTAAAATTTCATTTTTTGGGACGAAGTACCGGTACCTATGAGCCCAAATTTTCCCAAACTCCCCAAAATTCAACTTTCAACCAATAAACCCATTTAACGCCTATTCTATTCATTTGTTTCACAAAAAAATAATGTCACATTACATTACATGTCATTGCCAAAATACAAGGTTCGTACATAATTTATATAAGGTCAAAACAAAATTACATAATTGATGACAAAATGCAATTTAAGAACCACAATCTGGCTTTGTCATCAACATAGGCCCAAGTGAAGGTCGTCCCCTAAAGCTTATCCAATGCCTGAAATGTTTTCCCATGTAGAGTGAGTCATGCTCAATAGGGTATCTCCTAAGGAGGTTATTATCCAATCTAGATGTATATGAAATACACGTGCAAGTCATTACATTAAGCATCCATTCAAATACATACATGTCATATATGAATGCTACTATTTCATGTCATGTCATGAGGTGAAACTTGTGCATGCAATGTAAACCTGAACTCTCCATTGGTTCCCATAACACATGTCTTGCCATGCGTATGCATCAGGACATTCCAAGCTCCCGCAATTGATGTTAGACATCCAATTAACATTTTATTAAAATCTCGTGTTTTTTTTGGGTTAGGTATTTATGGACTTCCACCAATAGTCACCTAGCCAACATGGCATCTGTGAACTTCCACCAATTGTTTTGTTTTATATACACCGACACACTTTATGGATTCAATACCAACGAAAGTGCGTATCTGAGATTATCGAGTCTTGCACCTGAGGGAGAATCTAACATTTTTTGCTAACATCGACACTTATTTTTAAAGCAACCTGTGCGTCTCAATCGAACTTAGGTCCAACTTTTTCAAGTACACATATCAAACTACAAAAAATGATGTTTGATTAAAAACATGAACACCTACCCACAATCAAGTTAAATGCCCATGAATGCGATGTTACCAATGCATACGTATATGTAATGTATAATTATATTTTATATCACTATGCAATTTCTATCTCATGCTCGTCACATCATAAAACATATAGTGAACACATCATTTTTTACCAGTAATCCCAAGCATATTACATGTGATATCAACTCAATTAACATACTTGCATTCGTAAGCATTTTGTCAAACGCTTAATAGACATAATCATGTAAACAAATAGCTTGCCCAAAACATCATATTTTTCATAAAATTCAAAACCATGTAATTTTATCAAATATAAATCATACAATAATTTGTTTTAACATATTTTTATACGCATTTTTCACATTTTAACAACTCCAGGTATGTATTATACATAAGAATCTATATTTATCACCCTACCCATTTCATATTTCAACCCTAAGTTGAAAATAAATCTAATTAGAAAATGAACCCTACCTCTTACAGCGTATATCCGCATAGAAAAAGTTTAAAAAACCCAAAATCAAGTTTCTCAAGCTTTATCCAAAAATTATCTTTTTTTGAGATTTTGAAGAAAATCACGATCTTTGGTATTGTTTTGTAACTCTCGTTACATAGAACAATTTTAATTCTTAGCCCGAAAAAATACAACCGTTAGATCTTGACAAATCAATGAAAGAAAATGAGAGAAACTTGGGGTTTCTTTCTTTTTTCTCTCTTTATCGAAAT